GCTTCGTGCTGCCGGTTGGACTTGCGCCTGGCGCGAATCTGGCTGGTCGCTTGGATACGCGTCCGGATTTGCGTCGCGCGGCCGAAGATGCGACTTGATCAGTCCCCGAGGGTGATTCGGTCGCGCTCATGTTTTTTGCGCGCGATTGGCTCGTTGATGATGGTCGAGGTGGAGGTGGAAGTGCGCGGCGCGATCGGTACAGTTGAGGCGGGGACGGTGATGGGAGACGCGTTGTATGTCCGAGCACTTTTAGTGCAAGGTTGCGCGCACGTGCGTCTTACACTACGCCATCGACGTGTCGCCTTAACGCTCCGTCACATCTGCTTGCACTTGTTGCCGCCCCTTTGCCAGTCAAATGTGAGATTCCCAGGTGCATGTGCTTCACTTGGCAGGGAAACGCTCTCGGTACGGGCAACCAGCTGTTGCCTTGTCGGACGAGGTCGATTGGTCTATTATATACAGTGCTCATAGGGAAAATCTCAGTCTACCAATTATTAACAACCGTTCAGGCAGCAGCCTTGACCGGCTCGCCTTCTTTGATGTCCAGCTTCTCAACACCCTCAACAAGCTCTGTCCCCCCGTTGGACGCAGTAGTGGTAGTCTCGGCTGCTGCAGGCACTGCAGCCTCGCCCGCCGTCTTCTCTGCCGTCGCACTTCCAAGACTAGGCTCGTCTCCTCCCCACAGGTAGATCTCACTCTCTCCTATGATCTTGCCAGCCTTCTCCCATCGCTCTTTCCTCTGTTGTCTCCGCTCCGTGGAGATCTTCTCAAGCGCTGGCCAGTAGACGGAATGGTCGTACTTGAAGTCGACTTCACCGCCGGAGACTTTCATGAGCTGTGATGTGGGCACGTGGTTGGGTAGGGGCTCGTTCGATTTGATCTTGGACTTGGTGACGGGGTCGATAAAGGGGTTGATGAGCTTGAGGAAGGCATTGACATACCATGGGACTATTCGTGATGTCAGTAGTGCATGCGTGGGGCATTGGAGTGGTCCTTACGGTGTGTGAGCAATGCCCTACCAAGTCGCTCAGGGTAGTGGTTCTGCAAGATGTCAAGGACCTGTTTGGCGATGCCCATGCTAGGGGTGCCACCAGCTCCCGTGTTCCTGAAGTCGATCAACAGTGCCAGACTCTCCTGGCCAGGCGGGTGCAAGTCTATGGTGCGCTCCAGCATGTAGACCAAGTGCTCTACCCGCTTGGGTGTCTCCTTGGTGTTCTGGTTCTGCGGCAGCAGGTACAGACACGGCCTTCCCTCGTTGTCGAAACCAAGCAAGACCTGCTTGCCGGTTTCGTTCTCCTCTGAGATGTACTCGGCAGTGAAGCGGTCGGTGCCGTACTCACGACGCCATACCAGCGTCGAGCGCAGGCGCTGTACCGCTTGGGGAAGGTTCCACTTGGTGGCACGCAGGTATCGGAGGAGGCATTCGCGAGTGAGCCACATGCGCTCATCGTCGCTGATTGGTGAGGTCTCGGCAGTCTTTGCAGAGGTGGTGGGCAGTGTTTCCCATGTGCGGACATCGGCGAGAAGCTCGTCGTATTTGGTTTGCTGCTCGGCGGTCAAGGCAGGGGCAGCGGCGGGCTTGCAGCCGGGTGCAGGCTCCGCAAAGGGGCCAATTGCAGACATTATGTTCAGGGTGTAATTGATCAGCCCAAGTTGGTCTCGTCTACCGTTCTTGTTCAAGTATCTTGGGTGAAGTCCTTGTTGCCGTGTTGGCGTTGGTGTCAGCCTTGGGTAACTTTTTGGGAAGCATGGCGGTCCCTGCATGCACGTCGATCGCCCTAGGCCGCCTCCATGCTAGCCCCACCGACACGCGCGACGCGTCTTCGGAGTTCGCACGCGCAAAGTGCTCTCCCGGCCATCACCCACAATACTCACAGTCACACACAACATGGACGACCTTACGACCGAACTCACCGAGCGCTTCGAGCGCTACTGCGACACCAAGGATGACCAATTCCCCGCCGATGTCCTCGCTGAACTGCAGTCCATGTCACGGCTGTATTCCATCTCGCCCGAGGAGCTGGATTTCAAATGGCAGGCATACAACATGAAGATGGGCGGTGAAGAGAGCAAGATGGACGTCAAGACGGCACGAGACTTCAAAAAGACGATACAAGATGCATTGGAGCGCGAGAGCAGAGGGAAGGCCCAGCAGAGAAACGAAGTCAAGCGGGGCCAGCCAACACCACGAGCAAAGGGTGGGGACATGTATGATATGTATGTTTAAACAGTGGAAAGACATCTAGGATATTGCCATTGACTGGACGCAGACTAGAAGGACTCGTGCCGGGTACCCCACGTCAAAGCACAACGAACGGCGCCAATGGCAGTACAGTAAAGCGCAAAGCCAACTTCCAGACACCGGGAGGCAAGGCCACCAAGGCTCATGAGATGAGTTCGCCCGGAGGATTCATGGCACCGAAGGCTGAAGCCCCAGGTGGTCCGTATGTATACTGGGTGCACACCGCAGACATGCTCTAACGCCTACTCAGTGTCTTTGACTTCGCTTCCCGTACGAACGCAAACGACATCACCGAACAATTCATGCAAAGCGAAATTGCCATCCCGGAGCCGCCGTCAGAAGAACCGAAAGAACCTCGCATTAAACTCAAGGCGAATACGGACATGTCCAAGTTCTCATACCGCACCATGGCCATGAAGCTCTCTGAGGCGTCTGAAGTCTTGGATGATAGGATTGACGAGTTCCGTGACCTACTCAGGGACACAACGGGTCTGGACGAAAGCGCCTTCGGCAACCCCAATTACCCGTCACCGAGCGAGATCATTGCAGTCGGAAGAATTGCAAGCGACACAAGCGAAGGCAAACTCAACACGGCATCACTCGTCCTTGAAGGCTCGCGAAGACATGGCTCAGGCCGACGTGTACCGCTGAACGTAGAAGGGCTATCGTCGTATGATTTCTTTCCCGGCCAGATTGTTGCTCTGCGTGGTACCAACGCTTCGGGTGACTCATTCGTAGTGTCGGAAGTCATGTCACTTCCTCTGCTGAATCCGCCTGCTACAAGACCCGAAGAATTGGATGCCATCAACGCGAGATATCTCGACACGCCCGATTCCGATCCGGAGAATGTCCGACCTCTCACCATCATGATTGCGTCCGGACCTTACACGACCGACCAGAATCTCGACTTTGCCCCATTACACACCTTCCTTGACAATGCTGCTGAAGCATACGCGGACTCTATCATCTTGGTGGGCCCATTCCTCGACGCAGAACATCCTCAAATCCGGTCAGGAGACTTCGATGCTCCGCCAAATGTAAGCCCAGATCAGGCTACCATGACTGATCTGTTCAGACACCACGTCTCGAGTGCCATCCAAAACTTTAACAAACGCGTACCAACATGTAATGTTCTTCTGGTCCCCAGCTTACGAGACGCGCATCACCACCATGCTGCGTTTCCGCAGGACAAGTTCATCAAGAAGGAGCTTAGCCTGGGCGCTGCAGGAAAGATGGTCCAATGCGTGACCAACCCAATGACTGTCAGCATGAATGAAATGACCGTGGGCATGTCGTCCATCGATATCTTGGATATGCTACGTAGGGAAGAGCTGGCAGGCGGCAAGGCACGAAGTACGAATATCTATGAACGGTGCGCTCGAAACGTCCTCGAGCAGCGGAGTTTCTTGCCAATCTTCCCGCCAACTGGAAGAGAAAAGCAGCAATTCATGCCCGCGCCAATCGAGGAGAAGGTCATGAAGAATGAGGCAGGGAACAGTGAGCGGAAAGAGGGTGAAGAGCTGGAAGAGGAACAGTTACCCAGCCCTTTTCTTCCCTTGGGCACCATGCTCGATACGAGCTATCTCAAATTGGGCGAAATGCTGAATGTACGGCCTGACATACTCATAACTCCCAGCGTGCTTCAAGGCACAGTCAAGGTATGCTAAGATGGCTCGCCCACTAGAGAGCGATATGCTAACCCTGACTAGGTCGTGGAGTCTGTACTGGTTGTCAACCCTGGCACTTTAGCTAAACGGCGCGCGGCAGGGACGTATGCCCGCGTCATAATACAACCAGCTGTCGTCAGTGACGCAGAAAGGGAGAAAGGGGTTGCAGTTGCGCACAAGCTCTGGGAACGGACGCGTGTTGACATTGTGAAGATATAGGCGTTGGATGCTTGTCATAGGTATACCCTGGAATTGAGCATCAGAGATGTGTCTGGCGTTCCCCCGTGGCAACGGGCATGAAACCATCACTGTCAGGTGCAGCTCAGCGTGTGGTGTTCGTGATAATCATGTAGGAGGCAGCCACGTACACTGGCTGTATGCTAGGAGAGAATTAAAGAAGATACTAAGCTGGTGCGCTGCAGTGCAGTCAGTCTACGTTAGTATGAAACTCAACAGGAACAAGTTCTAAGGCCATGTAGGCTTCGACTATACTGTCTTCTATTATCCTGTAATGCGTGATTGGCATTTTTCTTGGACAAATCGCATATGGTACTTGATCTGGTCGCGGAAGTTGGGATGGTAGGTGCATAGTTACCGTTGAGAAGTGCATGTTTGCCCTAGGCAGACGGAGGACACATGATGCCGCGTCACTTTTGCGACGCGACTAGTAGGTCGACAAACCGATGTTACTCCATGTCACTTCGTCGCGCCTCCTTTGCGCATGCACTCCTGAACTTGGTTGGACCCGCACCTTAACCAAAGGTCACCATAGATTTTTTGCATTGCACATTCACTGCGAGCATTTTGCCCGCGCCTGTATTAGGAAGGCACTAGCTACCCGCGCACGTCAGCAATATTTACCAGTGAGAGCAAGCGGACTGGTGATGGTCTTTTGCGACCTGCTCCGTCGGTTTCTTTGCTGTAGTAGCAAGCGCACAGGTATTAAGGAGACGCACGAGCTTCCTTGTCGACCAGAGCAAAGTTCGCCTGTCCCCAGCATCCCAAGTCACAGTCCTCAACACCACGCTGGATCGCCTCAACGTCCACGCGACTCCCTCGACGGTACCCAAGAAGACGACTCCGCATCCTCCATGCCGCCCAAGCGCAAAAACACAGACAACGCCGCCGCTATGGACCGTCCAGAAAAGAAAACCAAGGCTCCCAAGAAAGGAGCAAAGGCAGCCCCCGAAGGTAAGTCGACGGTTTCCTCCTTCCATTCATGATTATCCGTCATTGGTTTGGCGGCGATGCATGTCAAGCTTGCAAGATGCAAGGCTAGCTTGTCGCCGCGGCCTTAATTCCGGGGCTTGGGTGCACGAGCAAGGGTTGAGTCGACTCGGCGGGGTCGGCCCTACAATTGCTGCCTCGTCGGTGCGTCACAGCTCGCCCAAGTATCGCCAACTCTGTCTATTGTCCACCACGGTTCGGCGACCAAAACGCGCACCCAATCTGTGAATTCACTTTGCGCGATTCTTTGTCTCTCAACACTGCAATCATTCCCTATCACCAAATTCTGCGCACCGACTTGCGCCCGCCCTCCACCCCTCCACCCCGCCGCTTCCTCACATCGAGCTCGCAATCAATAGCTGGAGTTCGATACAAGGCGCTAATACAATATGCCTACAGTCTACACTGCTCAGCAGAAAGCTGCAATCCAGCAGTTTATCAGCTTTACTCAACTTGACAAGTCCACCGCGGTCAGGGCACTCAAAAGCCATGGCTGGGATGCACAGAACGCCGTGAACGCGTAAGTACAGCTTTTCCTTTGTTGTTCATATATACAGTACACATTTTTTGCATGCTTGTTATATCTACGGACGCGTCGCGCCATCCAGACGAATCGACGTATCGACCGACCGATCAACCAACCGACCAGCACCTGGACACAGGACGAACATACTTGCGGACACACATCTGGGAAGGGACAACACAATACCTCTTGGGACTGAGGTAGTACCATACCACAGACAAAGAAGCAGGAGGGCTCGGGTCGCGCAAGAAGCTGCGAGTCATGGTGACAGATCGAGTTCAAAGCAGCTGCGGTCTGCGGGCACATGCAGCTGTGACTTCCAAGAACACAACGCCATTGTAAAGCTCCTGCATCTACAGTCGAAAGTGGTCTTACTCCGTCCCGTCCGAAGCGCTGGCACAATAGCACGCTTTCTCCTGCGGCATTTCCTCACCCACAACAAAGCCCTCGATAAGCCTCCCTCGGTGCAGTCGTCCAAACACACGCCACATCCACTCGTCAGTTCAGCTCAGTCGTGCGCTACATCCAGCCGTCATGTTCGGTTCCTCACAAGACAGGGCTAGGCAGCTAGCCGGGCGTAATAGACGAGAACGCATCAGTTCCATCAGCTCATGCTCTAGCTCTCGGACTTTGAGCCTTTCAAGTCGAACTTCTCATCTGAGGGACGTCCAACCCGCCCAAGTACACGCAGTCAGCACAATCAACACCGCCGACGACGAACGCCTCTTTTCTGGCAAGACCGCTGCTTCCTCCGATTCCACCAAGTCCAGTATCGAGACCTACACAGTTCAGGGAGCTTTCCGACCGCTTGCCGTACCACACCTGGTTGAGGGTTTGGACTGTTTACAGACGGAGCAACATCGAGTCCAAGCGGAACACCTAAGCCGCGTGCTACATAGCAGTCTCAGTCTTACCAACGTTACCAACGCACCAGAAAGTCAGTTCGCGCTAGCCCGTCATATCCGATACGGCAGTCTGGGAACAGACTCGGTCATTATACAACATCCGCGCAGTATCACAACTCCCCTTCCAAGTACATGCTTGCCGGAAACTATACTCGAGGAGCTGCTGGCGCTCTTGCACACTACCACAGTGCCTTCACTTCACACCTCCGTCTCTGATCATCACCTAGGTTCAGAGCCGACTGTGTCGTTGCGCGGTGGTTCTGGCAACTACGTCGGCTCTGGGGGCTACAGCAACGACTACAACGAGCATGACATCTCAGGAAGACGCAGTCCCCAAGCTTCAGACACCCCAGGACAAGCTGCGCTCTGGGCTCTCGAGAGCCATTACTTGAAATGTATGGCTCCCATGGACTATGCTTCCTATGTGGACTCCTGCAAACAAGAGACTCTTTGGTTCGAGTCCATCGGGATCACCCAAATATGGCCGAGAATCGCACAGGCCATTGAGCATTTGCCCATAACCGTAGGCGTAAACTACAACACGTTTATCCAATCACTATCACTTGCGAATCGGAGTGTGTTCGCCAAGCTCTTCAGCCTCCTCCCGTTGATCAACCACAAAACGATCCCAGCTCCCGCTTTCGAAAAATGGAAGTTGGCGCGTCTGGCCTTCTTCCATGGTCTGGGACGTGATGGCAGGACCAAATTCTGCCGCATCATCATCGAAAGAATAAAATTGGTGACAGGGTCTGATGAAGTGCCCGTGCTGAGCGATGCCACGTCGTCACCTATCGACACAGTGCATCTGTTCGTTACTGCGAAACTGTTTGTGCAGCTCAATTCTCCCATATCACTGAAGAATTATCAGTATCACGTGTACCTTTACGATATGCCTGGATTACAAGTCACTCACGACGAGCTTTTCGTTGCAACTGCCAACTGGCAACTCATCAAATACATTGACAAAGACTGACAAATCACGTAGTTACTACAGCAGCAGCAACAGCGGCGGTTCCCAAGGCTCATCTGCGATGAAGACCAATCTCAACAAGCTGTTCGATCGGTACCAAGAGGCTGGTGCACCAGACAAAGACGTCGTCGGAGTAGAAGGCACGATGCAGTATTTCGATGATACTGGCGTCAATGCCGAGGGCCTAGATGCGTTGGCGGCTCTTGAAATCGTCCAGGCCCCTACCATGGGCGAGATGAGCCGCGATGGCTTCGTCAAGGGTTGGTTGGAGCGCCAGTAAGTGCCACTATTTTTCAGGTTGTCTTCGAGGTCGTTTAGAACCTAATGCAAATGCAGCTGTGATACCATCGACAAGCAGAAGTCGTATCTCAGGATTCTCAAGAGCGAGCTCTCGGGCAACAAAGACGTCTTCACCCGGGTGTACAAGTACACATTCACCATCGCCAAGACTGCGGACCAGAGGGCTGTTCCACTCGAGATGGCCACCGTGTACTGGGAGTTGCTCTTCAGTTCGCCCTTGTCTGCTGTTCAGTGGTCAAGTCCCAACACTCCGTGGCTTACTTGGTGGACTGAGTTCCTCAATACGTCGTGGAAGAAGAGCGTCAACAAGGACATGTGGAACGAGACACTCAAGTTCGCGCAGCTCTCGCTGGAAGATGAGACCATGGGCTTCTGGAACGAGGAGTCTTCATGGCCGTCTGTCATTGACGACTTTGTCGAGTTCGTCAAGAAGGAGAAGCGGGGTGACACGGGAGAGCAGCCGATGGACGAAGACTACTATTGATCTGGGTCAAGACGGTCTATGAAACTAGCGGGGAGTTATGGTAGAGGACATGCTTTGCTGCTATAGCAGCTGCCGGCGTTTTGCTCATCAGAAGGCGGGTTTACTTGATGCATGTTACGAGATTCACGGGAGCATTCCATACCATGGCCAGATTTACAGCACTTTGAGCATCTTCTAGTAAATAGACTAGCTCAGCATGATACATCACCGTGCGCCATCTATTTTGTTTCGTTTGTGCTGGGTGATTACACATTGGAACAAGTGACCGTCGACAGCAACGCAGGGCAGGCGAAGAAACAAGATGCCGCTAAGTATAAGATGCGCGCAGGTCGTGCAGTCGAGTCCAAAGACATTTGCATTGCTGCCGCGGACACTGTACATAACCACTGTTTGTCGCGTCCGTTGTTGTTCGGCGAGGAAGGTTGGTGGTGGTCGCTGCGCTCTTGGTGTGGCTAGGGCCAGCGTAAGCGAGGTGCCACTAGCGTGTCCACTGAGCTGCGGCGCCTTCGCAAAATCCATCAACGCCAACTTTTGACGACACCACATCGACAACTAACCACACAGCAGTCAAAGTGCGTATACCGAGGCGGACTGCTGTTACTGTACTGACGATATCGCAGATGGTCGCCGCTAAGAAGCATGTCCCGATCGTCAAGAAGCGTACGCCGAATCTGCCTCCATGACCTCGAAAACTCGCGACTGACGTATCCGTTTACAGACCGCAAGCGCTTCAACCGCCACCAGTCGGACCGCTTTATGTGTAAGAGACACCGGAGCTGGGAGTGAAGGAATTGGCATCTGACACTGGACAGGCGTCGACCCCTCATGGCGCAAGCCTAAGGGTATCGACAACCGCGTCCGCAGGCGGTTCAAGGGCCAGGCTGCTATGCCCAAGGTACGGACTACCAACTACCCGGACGGAGGAAGAATCTTGTCATCGAGAGGACACTGAGCGGATACGGAATGCTTGATGGACCAGGGCTGACGGAACGCCTCACAGATCGGATACGGCTCCAACAGGAAGACCCGCCACATGATGCCCAGCGGCCACAAGGCCTTCGTCGTCAACAACGGTATGCTACCTATCGAGTACGACACCACTCCAGGATTCCGCTAACGGACGCAGTCGCCGATGTTGACCTCCTCCTCATGCACAACCAGACCTTCGCCGCAGAGTACGTTCGCCAGCTTCCGTTCCACCATCCCACATACTAATGAATCCTTCAGGATCGCCCACGCTGTATCAGCACGAAAGCGCATCGAAATCATCGCCAGGGCGAAGCAGATCGGTGTCAAGGTTACCAACGGCAAGGCCCGCGTCAAGACCGAGTCGTAGATGGGTGCGGATTTTCACTTTGGGGCGGGGCATACAAGGCGTCTCTCTGATTAGTTACGATCTCAATGGGAAGGCTTTCCATCCTCTTCGGCTCACGGTACCCTTCGATACGGTATGGGGAGAGGCATGCACTTCAAAAAGCATTGCGACATGTTACTGCGGAATGACCAAAGATATCAAGGGACAGGAGCAGTAGGAATGCAATGAAAAAACGAGCCAAATCAGGATCTCCTCGATGACGTAGGATGTGATGCTTTTTGATCTTAGACTAACTGCAGAGCCGCTTTGATTTCGCAACCCAAACTGCCGGCCGCGCAGAACAAACGTGTGTGTTGCGGTATCGTCCGTAGAGTGCCTTGGGTGCTGCGTGTACTCTGCGCCAAGCATCGAATGCGCATCAATCAGGCTGATCTTCTTCACATGCCACAGATCAGGTCATGGCTATCGAGATGACGACTAGAGCTTGCGGTAAAATATGCCGCGCCGGTTGTTGCTCACTCTTGCGAGCTGTTCTCCTTTGAGCTAATGATACTGCATCCACGATGTTGGAATGGGTTGCAATTTTCAGCTAGACTTTTATCGCAGAAGCCTTTGACCAACGACGAGCATACCTTGATGTCGATTTCGCTTTCATGTCATCGACAAGCAACATCGAACCTGCATGCTAGCACTATGCAAATGCCTGTCGGATGAAGTACTACCGGCTATTTTAGTCAATTGCTTAAGCTGCCTAAGCATCAACATCGCTGACGGGCACGTTTCCGCATGCGCACACCAACTCAGCGCGTCGCCTGCTCGGAAGATACGCAGCCGCAAGCCATGTCCACTCCTCAACCTACTCACCGCCATCAGATTGATGAGTGAACTCGACGCACATTGATAAGGAATCTGATAGTAAAGCCGTATTACCAGCCGTACGAGTCACAAAGGGGCAGCGCAAGAGCCATGGTTGCTTCTTGGCGCCGTCGCACGTACGCTGGGTGCAGCCGCGTAGGAGCAAGTGAGGCGCCGCGTGGGCTCAAAGGAAGGCCGGTATTTGTCGCGTGGCACAGGGCGTTGTAGGCAGGGTGTTGGCTGTCTATTTGCTTGTCTGGCATGGGTGTGGAGATGGAATGTTTCACGAAGTTGGAGAATCGGAGCGAATGTTGCAAGTACGGGGAAGGCGATCTGAGGAAGGTTGAATTGCGCAGGCTGGCGCTTACTCCGCTTTGACGCACGCATCAGATTGTCGAAACATGCAAGCTGCTTAGAAGAGAGCTCTTTGTTGCTTCAGGCGACCCGGGGCTCCGAGTCCGTTGTTTTGTCATGGTTCCTGGTGCTGGTGCTGGTTCCATCGACGGCGGACATGTTGAGCGCCTCGCTACCGGCTGCGCTTACGGAAGTTCCGCGCACGATCTAGCAACGCCTGTCGGTCCACTCAGTCCCTTTCGCATCCGCACACCTCAACCCAGCATCACACCGCTCTGAAGCGGCCCTCAGTCTGTGCCTGCCCTTGCAATTTCACACTCCCAGGCGACTGCTGGACAATCGACCTGGCTGCGTCGCGTTATCTGGCATTATCTGTCCACGCGTGGCTGGCACCCCAGGTGATTGGCCCAGGGCAGCACTCTATCAACGCATGTGGGTTGCTGCGAGGGAGGCACGAATGCGGAGCCTGGCATGCCACCACGACAATCAGCGGATCCGTGGGCGCGCGACAGGAAAGAACCGGGAACGTGTACCGCTGAGAAGAGCTGATTGAGGCAGTGTGTCATGACGAATTTCTGATGAGGCCCGTTTTACTGAGGGTCCGATACGCTCGGGGGCGGCGTGCGAGGACTCGGTGCTCACGTTGGCATTGGCCTTAGATGTCTGACTATTGCTCCCCGGTACATGGTCCACACTTGTACCCACGGTAGGTCGAAGCGCATCCCAATTTCCTTCCGTCAGCCTGGGAAAGATTTTCAGACCCAGCACTAAATTAGCTCCCGTCTTTTAAATATTTCGACACCCCAGCGTCTTTGTTTCGAGATTCCTCCTTTCACGCGCACTCAGTGAACCACGCTCGTCGAAGGCTTGCCTCGCTCCTCATAGCGACACAGTCGTGCACCTGCACGCAGTGACCGGCGGTCTTCGGCTAGTCACTTTCACAACACACTCCTGAAGTGACGGATTTACATACCTCGTCTACCAACTCGCCTCTGTTCAAGCGGAATATCGCAGCATCCAACGTTGCCACTGACGATCACGACCACGTGCTTTACCCGACGGCAGACTTTGCTTCAAGAACTTTCCGGAGTACTTGCCACCCCCGGAATCTCAGACCCACCACCACTGCCGACTGTCCCCGGAGGACATCACCGACAGTGACCGGAAGAGTTTTATCAAACGTTGTTCGAAAACCATCGACATGGCGCCCAACCTCTTCATAGCCACTCAAAAGGCCTTTGCGCCCCACAAGTGGTTCAAGTCGAACAAGGCAGAGCAGTCATCCAAGGTCGTTGAAGAGTGGACCAGCCCAGTACCCGGCCAGTACGAGAGTATCCCCGGACGAGGCTGGTTCCTGATCGCAACTCTCAAGGACGATTCCAAGCCAGAAGGCCACCCCAGTTCATACATCAAGTCATCAACCGGCAGAGTGTACATCTCCCTGGACCGTCCCGTTCCTCTGAAATACTCACATGCTATCGGTCGTTATTTCTTGGAACCCGAGTTCAACAAGCGCAAGAAGACTGTCATGATCAAGAACGACAAAGGTAAAGAAGTACAAGCAGGCTTCTTCCGGGTCGACGACGTGGCTTGGGTCAAGTGCTGGGACGAACACGACACCTTCATTCCTGGGAACGCAAATGGTGCTGCAGGCTATCAACGTTGGGTCTTCGATCAGCAAACACAGCAATTCCGTCACATGATCAAGCGCGACGATCCCAACTACGTTCGGTCCCGAAAGAACTCTCCTGCCCGCGATGCCGACAACCGCAGCCAAGAGTCAGTAAGCACTGAGTATCGCACTAGCCGTCCTGGTAGCACCAAGAACGGCTTCAGCGTTGCCAGCACAAGGGCCAACAGCTTCCGCTACCAGCCTCCGACTCCTACATCAAACCCGACTAGCCAACGCCCTTCAAGACAGAGCAGCCCCAAGCGCAGCGACAGCATACCTCTTGAAGAAGCCAAAATCGCCCTCAGACGTTTGGCTAGAGAACACGAGGAAGCCGCAGCTGCGTTAGCTCGATCTCGCATGAAGCGCACCGACTCCAAAGGTCGCGTGGAGCAGATTGAGCGCGGTCGTCTTTCCGAACGGGTTGGTAACTAAAAGTGTTTTACATTGGGCATTCGGCACAGCGACATGATGGCGCCCGGCTATTTTGCGACATGGAGCTTGGCATTCAACACGTGGTGGTACCGACTTCACGGTGCTACGACTCCCCTTTACAATCTTGTAATCTTTCTAGAGTCATGATTTCCTTTTCACGGCCTGAGGTTCAACGTGTTTAGTTCATTAGCGATTATCGGTCCTTGTACGGCTGAAGGCCGAGTGGAGTTCAGTTTAGGTTTCGTTTTAGACTTTTGGCGCTTCACTTCTTCTTCTGTACGGCGCATTACTACAAGGGCATCATGCACGGTATACCCAGATATGGTTTAAGCCCTTCGCGGCTCTGTTGTCAAGCTTCATAGACATTGTTTTGTAGGTACAACGTGGCGAATGTATCATCTTCTCATGCGTTCGCAATGCTGTTTGCGCCTTTCATCCACGTCATTAGACATTCGCAGCTGTTGTATACCCCTTGTTAGCTGTTGGTTCCTACGTGTAGAACGGTATGATAATCTTTGCGCGTGCTGTGTGCTGAGCGCATTCACCTTCGCCTCTTCTTTTAGTATACGAGCATCAAATTTAGCTTTTCCGTCACGGCGACGACGCTTCAATACTGCGAGTCGCTTCACGCAGAACCCCTTCATCGAAGCAAGTGTCACGCATTCAGGTCTTGGTTCTTTACATAAAGTACGCGGTTTCAGCAATTTGTTCTTATACTCTTCTCCTGTCACGATATTGATTTCGACCTCTTGACAACTGCTATATCAGCATTCCCACTTATCATCATCTGCTGAATCCAGGTCCTTCTACAACCAAGCAAGCCTCCTACACTTATACGACTACTGCCGGAATTCTTCTGTACGAAGATGCCGCGATCATCAGGAAGATCAGGTGCGGGTGAACACCGCCGAGACCGTCTTAGGCACGCTGATAACGATCACGAGCAATATGTCGCTGCAGACCAACGCTTGCACTCTTTTGCTCATACACGTATTGTCGAAGCAGAAATCCGACACCTAAGCCACGATCTCGCCCTCGCATTTTCCCAGATAGAGGTGCTCGAAGGAGAGCTCGGCTTGGCCGATCAAGAGATCAGGTTGTTGAGAGAGGAGAACGCGATGTTGGGAGAGAATAACACGACGCTGAAGGACTGCCTAGACGGTCGAGACGATGCCGAGCGCGAGGTGATAACGGAAATGGAAAGCCGTCTTGAACATCTACATGAGGATTTACAGGGCCTAGATGCCATTCTGCAAGCAGTCTTGGACGCTGTGGGCGTGACTGACGGCAACGAATCGTCTAGGGTCTACTTTGAGGGGGACTGGGAAGACATGGCGAGGTTGTGGCAGGAAGGTCACAATGAAGGGTATACAAATCATGCAAGGAGCGATCGGGCACCTGTTGGTCGGCCACGAGTGGATACCAAGCTTCCGCATGAGTCGATGACTGAGACGAACGCTTCTGGTCCGTCACGCCACTTCGAGCGCAGCAATGCGCCTAGCCCAGAAGGAAGACGTTCACAGCAAGCTTGTCCAGATACGTTGCGACAGATCGAAACGGAAATGGCTATCCTCCGACTCCAGGATCGTATGGAAAGAAACGAGGCTGGAATGAGAGCCTTGACAAGCCGATGCGATGCGCAAGATCAATGGCACGACTTGCTAGTTGAAATGTTGCATGAACAGGAGATGATCTTTGGAGACATACTCAGTACTATCTACGAGACGCAAGAGGAGTATGACGATGACGACGACGACGACGACGAGCCATATTGTACGTGCGGTGAGCGTGGATATGAAATTGATAGTGGAGACATGAATGCAACATTAAGAGGCGGAATGGGTGGGAGAGACGAGGACGAAGAATTCGTGTATGATTATGGTGGGTACACGAATTGGGATCAAATGGACGCTTCGTCGCAACAGGAGGGTATGAATGGAAACCAGAGTAGTGGTCGCGATAAAGAGATCATCCGGGAATTGCGACAGCAGGTTAAGCTCTTGAAAGAGCAGGTGCATGCGCTTATGGAGACGGCGCACCGCGACATTGTTTCTCGATCGAAAGACCGCCAAGAGGAGGAAGAGGATGAACCGAGTCTGCGTGGTGGAAGTGGAGAAGAGGAGGTTGATCACGATGGCAGTCGCGAGCATATCGATACCAGCAGTGTCCCTACTCTCATCCTAGCCTCACCACACTTACTCTGCCAGCGAGCCGCAACTCGGGTCGGCGATTCCACCGTCCACTACATTCTCGTATATCTACCTCCAGGTCTCGTCATTCCCGGAACCAAAAAGCCCGAGCTTGTTTTCCACAGCGCCGCGACAATCTACTATTTCCCAACAGGAGCAACAGAAGATTTCGTGAAACGAGAAGCCTGGAAGCAAAAGGCTTGTGGAAACGGACACTGGCAAGAAGTTGCGATCCACAAGATACAATCAAAGCAGGTGTTCAAACACGCGATCGCAAGCTGGTGGGAGACCATGGGATTAAGCTGGGATATCCTAACGGGTGGGGACTGGAACTTTGACGGAGATGAAGGTGAGATGTATATGGTCAACGACAACAACCTCTTTCTCACAAATCGCACAAGAGAAGTAGCCGGCGCACAAATTCGCGGCGGAAGTGGTTACGAAACCGACCCGTCATTCCAGAACGAGAGCGCAGCGAACGATCCTAGCAGCATGTTTGAGCCGCTCATGCAAGAGGCCGCGACATTATGTGTGGGCCCTCCAGCCTCTCAACGTGGGGACTTTTGGATGACTCTGGCCAATGTACTACAAACACGCAACTGCTTTCTCGAACGAGAACTCGAGAACTTCAAAGAACTAAATCACAGTCTCATGCAGGACCTACGTTGGCAGATGGATGTACAGGTGGAGATGGAAGAGCGGGTTGAGGCCGTACTGGTAGAAAAGAACGCGATCGCTGAAGACCTGGAGGTTCTCAAGACCCGCTTGATGGTTTTAATCGAGAGTACTACATCTCGTACGGTATGCACGGACGATAAAGAAGACGTGGTTTTGACTGACGAAATCCGTATGGAATCGTCAAGCCTAGGAACGATGCGAGGTGGTAACGAAGACCCATCATCACCAGCGACATCTACGAAGGAAACGACTCCACGAGCATTCCTCTCCGACCCTTCCCGTACGTGTGCCATTATCGCAGCGAAATCTTTCGACTTCTATCCGAGACAATCCACCATAGTCTTTGCTGGTGCCTCTCCGCACCTATACCAGTTTCCTCACAGGTCGACACTGCCTGAAATCTGTCGCATCCTTGAAATCGATGACGGGGAACAATCGCTCGCCGACGATCCATATATCGCGCGCGTCTTAGAGATCATGAAGATCCGTGAAGAGATGGGTATAGAGTTGCCCGAGAACGTCAGCGATGAGCGTGTCACTATCAGCATATGCGATGTTCCGAGTGATTGTCACTTGGATCGCGAAACAGAGATAGCTACATGGGAGGTGCATGAGGAAGATATGGACGTTCTCGGGAAGCTACTAACGAAGCTTGATATCGATCTAAAAACATCCAAGTCGTCTACCAGTACCTCGGTCAGAACCGCATCGAGCGAAGAAGAGCAAGACTACTACCAAGATGTTGGCGATTTGGTTAATTCGCTCAACGACGCAGTCAAAGACGAGCTTAGAACCAGCTCGCCGAAGTTCTGTATGTTTCAGGTACATCCTGTAATTGACAGTGAGAGCTTCTCTGAGATGAAAGAGGTAAAACAACCATGTTTGTTATCCGTTCGTGGCGGTGGTAGTCATTCTGAGTACTGGAACCATGATGCACACGGCAACCGAGAGTTCCCGCTACAAAATCCCAAGTTGCCTGCTGCACCAGGTGTCCCACCTATCACTCCGAAATCCTATGGTACGCTGGCACCAAATACTCCTAGCTTAAGTTCAAACGAGGCGATCATTACGGCAAAAAGTCCTTTGAGCATAAGACTGGGCCGTCTTATGTTCCCTGTCAAGTTCGTTCAACGGCACGAGGATAGCATCAGCCGCTTTGAATGGCAACATACAAAGCGACTGAATCCTCAGTTCAGAGACAAGCGCTCCAGAAGTTACAAGTATACAAGAGGTGCTCAATGCGAAGTCTGGGCTATGCAGCTGGACGAACACCGAGAGCACTGCGACTATTGTCAAGCAATGTTCATTGAGGAAGACTACGCTAGAAGCAATGCTACATCTACGTATAAAGACGACGCTTCGAAGCCGCCAATAGAAGCTAGGAGATCTTCGGAGAACACCATCTGGCCTGGAATCAGTAATGAAACAACCCTCCGCACTGATGACCACCCAGACTCCGGCTTGAGGGGCGGTGCCGGTCATGAAAGAGATCTGGAACATGAAGGCGAGGAAAACGAAGACTGGCGATACGAGTGGGACAATCTAGCTAGCCAAACTCAATCCTCGGGTTATCAGCCTCGCACGTTTCGCAACTCCAGCACACTTTCCACAAAGACAAAGACTTCACCTCCTTCGCCCGTTGACCGCAACTTCCGAAAGGATCGCTGGCCTCAGTCATGGGATGTTTGTACCGCCGAAGAGTTCCTAAGGACGGAACATAGGAAGGTAGATCGCCGCGAAGTTCATGCAGGTGAGTTCTCTAAACCACCACACAATACCCGGCATAAGAGCCCTGACAGCCTGACGCCATCAAAGACTAGTAATCCTTTCCTACTGGAAATGCGAAGGTCGAGACATGAACCAATCCCTGAGAGGCCACTTACGAACTGCGATTCACTGTCAATCAAAGATAGCGACAGTGTATTGGAACTCAAGGCTGAAGCTTGGCTGGACAACCCTAGGCCAGCACCCCCAATCCCCTTCCAGCGAAGCTCTGCAGCGCTGCGGCACGACACCGCAGACTCACATCATGCTGTTTCTATTGGTACAGGCGCATCTACATCTGGACCGCAGACCAATTCGGTACCCAAAGAGCCGTCATTCAGAAGTGATCGCCATGAGTTCTTCCCAGCCGGCGAACATTACACCATATCAGAGAATGAATCCAGTATGACGACGCGAACAAGGCGCAGAGACGTGCCTTTGTCTGAAATCTTGAGTGATGAAGCCTATGAGGATCACGTCAGGTCAGGACCCGTTGAGACGCCCCACCCCCGAGTACCGAAACCAAAACTGGGCGAGAGACTGTGTAAGAAGTGTGCAGAGCTCTTGACTTTGCTCGCTAAGTATATTGCAAAGTTGAGTCAGCGACTGACGGCCAGGACGTCAAAGACACCAATGAACACACCTAAAGTTCCTCGTGACAAGACTTTAGGTTCGAGCGCGAAGCCCAAAAGGAAGCCAAAGAAGGGTATTTCAAAACTAGCCTTTCAAACGCCAGCAGCGCCAGCGCCGTCAAGAACGGGCTGGGAAGCCTGGTACATGAACCGCCGGCTTCCTTACCTACCATTCGACAAATCACTTCCGGACACACCTCACGCATGGACTTCAACTCTTATCAAGGCCTTTGAACCCAAGGGGAAGTTTCCTGCAATACCTCGAGCCTCTTTTTCACGCATCGACTGCGCGCGCATCATCGCCCAGGCACAGGACAGTGCACACGCAAACTTTGTGAGCCAAGGAGCGGACCAATGGCATGTGCCAACCGTTGCCGGGCCATCAGATCTAGTGAAGGAAGCGCTCATGTGGTTGGACTATGAAGATAAGTCGGGGAAGATAGGAAAGACAGTTTTTGATGGAAACATGGCAGACGAGACTGAGTACGATTATTCCCGTAACGCCAAGCTGGCGGTAGTGTAGAGGTGGAAAGTTCGATTGAATGGTAGTATTTGCTAGTCTACAGACTCACAGCTCTCTGTCCCGAATAGTTCTATACTGTTGATACTTCATGTTTGCCTCGTGCTCTCTGGTCATATTCTGCATGAAGGTCTGGATAAACTCCGTTTTGACTGCCCATGAGGCTGTTATGCGTAAGAATTGCAAGGCGAAGACCGTCCAGACTAGCTGGATACCTTCGATGAAGATTATCTGCTTGTAGGCTGGAGCGAGTATGAATGCAGCAAGGCGAACAAGCGGAGTGACGGAGAAAAATGTGCCCAAGAAGTTGAAGATAAGGTGCTAGTCGGCACGTTAGTGGGCTGCCATGCCGAAAAATTAAGATAAGAACTTACTTCACCCAAGCCCTTGAAGATCAACATTGGTGACTTCATTTTGAGAAGCTGCCGAAGCATATGCTCCACGGTGAATATAGACAGCATGCCAACTGTCATGTCGAGCACCCATTTGACGAAAGTATTGCGCCAGTTCAATGACGCTCGATGCACTCTGCCCTGTGCGATCCATTTCTTCACCACCTCTTCCTCTCTATCTTCGCTCTCTTCGACTTGCTCCTTTTGCTGCGCTGGGGCGTCTCGGTATCTCGGTCGAGCAGGCAAGATCCTTTCAAGGCCAATGAGCCACCAATACTGCAGTATAGCGAGCGCTAGTGAAATGATCACTTCTCTTGGCAACTTTCGCCGATAGAAAGATTCCGATATCTCACTACCTGCAGTCCCATTGATTCCACTGGTACCATTGAGTCCAGTTCTAGTCTCGTTGCCATACTGGAGGGCAAGGGAGAACGAGGTACCGTCGGAGGTGTTAACCGTGGGTTTGACATCGATTGCTAATTGGCCAGTCTGGTCTGTTAAACCAGGAATGGTAGCATTGGACAATGTCCCATTGGTGAGAAGGTTGAGAAGTGTCTTGAATGTTTCATCCTGCGTTACTTCGGCGAATATGTTTTCTTCGGCATAATGGCTGTAGAGCAGCGAGACGGTGCAGATGGCGGTTGCCTGGAGAACGGCATTGCGCATCACTGGCGAGAACAGCATGATTGAGTTTCTGGGTAGAGATGTGCGATGGATGACGGAAGGAAAACGTGAGATGGACGCAATCTTAAGGCGGGTTGCCATATGAATACTGCGCCGCGTTAGGCAGCCACTCGTGTCTGCCTTGCAGTGCTACCACATTGGACGCCTGATACGCGATGCGGTCCGAATATGATGCAACGGCATTTATTATCCGTCTTTTTGATGTGGTTGTCAAGAAGGCGATGCAAGGACATCCGCCTATCGCATCGCATCAGTCGATGATGCTACCGGGTCTCGGAACGTTTCAGACACTATACTCTTTTCGGAACACGCTGATCGCGGTACGTGCCAGGGGTCCTTTCCGACACCCGGTTTTTGCTTCAGAACGACGTCGAAAAGTCAGCGTGGAAGTGAGCAATTACTTCCGTCTTCCGCGTTTTACCGTGGAGCCTCGTCTAGTAGGAAGACGGGAAGCTGCGAATACCCATAGCGTGCATGCATTCTAGCGTCAGACGCAACTCAGCTGGATACCTAGGTATGTCGCCTGGCGAGAGCGATCTATAATATGTGCTGAACATTTAGGTAAGGGAAAATCTTTTGCTTCGACTATTGCGATCAAGGTATCATAAGGCGCACGTGAAGAGTGACCAGATGGGCGTAATCTTTCGGCGCACAACGTACAAGCAACCCCAGATGAGAGCATGTAACCGGCGAAGCAAGCTGGTAAAACCGTTGGATATCTGCGGATGGACAATGCAGTAGTCAAGTCAAGAGATGCATCGTAGAATGTTGAAGGAAAGCCTGTACCAGAGTCGACCAGATAGCCAGTTTCTCACCGCACCTGATTCACCACAATTTGTCACCAACCTTGAGGTAGCAGTATCGTGCCTACTTAGATTCGTTCCTTCGCGGCGTTTCACTACTGTACGGTCCGGCGACTTCGCTAACCTTCGATCAGCGAGTTCTTAACGAACGCTTTCTACGTTCACCTGCACTCATGACCTTGAAGTCATAAAAGTCTCTATTATTCCCTTCTTCATTATCATCAACGCACTCGAAAAAGTCCAACTCAACCTTCACGCAACATTCAGTATGATTCGCTTGTTTCTCTACGCAGTCACCCCCTCCGGACTCAGAATGAGCTGGTTACGGCACGCAAGCCTCGCACTCTTTCCAGAAGAATTCCGCGCCGATCTCGATGAACTCCACAGATACTTTCCTAGCCTAGCTATCGTGGTACCAGGAGTAGTGTCCCAGGTATCGGCAAAAAACGTCGGCTGGTTCTTCGCGACACTAGAGAGGACTGCCATCATTCTGACGGCTTTCCTAACACAGCATCCGACTCCGGAGCAGATCCAGCGTTACTGCAAAGACTTGGAGAACTACTTGGAAATGGAATGTCGTGATTGTCCCGCACTCCGCGAGTTGCATCTTAGAGAACTCGCCACGTTCTGCGAAGCAAAGCTAGAAGGTCGACGCCTTTCCGGCCCTCGAGCTTTCAGGGAAGTATCTAGCTTGCCTCCACTAACTAATCGAGAAGCCTTTTGGATCGTTTCAGCTTTCCTTGAGCCCGCGACAGTACAAGTGTTAAGTGCTATGAGCCAAGCGCACATACCTACGTGCCGCTCGAACATGAGCTTCCGCGAGTTTGTCGAAGCAAGTCGGGGTTACAAGGATGGGATGTTGCACAGCACCATAGAACTTCCCTTCACATACCTAGGAGATTCTGACGATGATGTCAATTCGGACATGGATGACGATCTTCAACCGACTGGCGAGCGTATTCTGATCGAGGATTTCTGCAAACCAGTGCAGAGCGTTCCTGAGGGTGTCGCATGCGCCGTATGTATGGTCGATGTCCACGAAGACAACAAGAACGAAGAACGACCAGTGATTACGAAGTGTGCTCACTACTTCCATCAAGTCTGTCTAGACAGCTGGGTCAATGAGTCAGCTATGAACGGTGCGAACGCATGCCCGCAATGCCGTGCAGAGATGTGTCAAGCTCGCGCACGTGAGCCTGTTTCACGGCTCCAGAGTGAGGCGCAGGAGGCCGAAGATGGCGACTTCATCGACTCTATGCAAGAGGAGGCATTGCACGCCGAGGGTGAAATCAATCGCGGAAGCGGTTTGTTTTCGCGTCTGCGCAGCCGGTTTCGCCGAAACTGAGGAAGATTGTCATCTATAGGGGCAATTACGTCGGCAATAACGGCTTAATGATATCTGGTCAACTCCTGCCCGGGCTCCCGGCCTCTTCGATAGTGCTGTATCATGCAGATGGGGTGACGGAGTGAACCTTGGAATGCAATGTCCTTTGTAATGACCTTGGAATGGGGCAATAGAGCTAGACTAGAAACGCTAGATGTGACAACATAGTACCAATCGTCTTGGCAGACGGTCTGTTCAATAGTGTAATGGGTTTCTTACGCGCATTTGACTGTTGAAAGATGTACAGACGAGTGATCGCGCTCGCATTAAGGGATGAGGATTGCTGGCTCGTGATGTGAATGTAGCAGACGTGTCGCGCCCCTCATAGAAGGCATGCGCGGAGGTTATTGAGTTTTCGGAATGTAATGAAGATAGTCAGAGCGTTTAATTGCTGGGAGGCATCAACAACGATGATGATGACCTCAGGTACCGAGCTACTCGAACACTCGGCGCCACTAGCCCCTTCGGGACTAGTACCCCACCATCGTGCCGACAATTTTGAACTGCTCGAACTTCTGGCGCACCGCGCGACACTCACTCATTCTCCAACCCCTCCAAATCAGACGCAGGATATCCATTTCTTTGCGCTCCCCTCCCCATACCGCCAAAATGTCCACCACCGTACGTACAACCGCTTTGCTGTCCAGCGCAAGGGAGCACCCCACGCGCACAAGAACAGTAGGCTAAGTACTCAAGTTATAGAAGCGCTCCGCTGCCGCCAAGAAGGGCCAAAAGGTCACCAAGAAGTTCATCATCAACTGCTCGCAGCCCGTCAACGACAAGATCTTCGACATCCAGGCTTTCGAGAAGTTCCTGCACGACCGCATCAAGGTTGAGGGCCGCACCGGTAACCTTGGTGATACCATCCAGATCAGCCAGCAGGGCGATGGCAAGATCGAGGTCATTGCGCACCAGGAGTTCTCTGGCCGCTACCTGAAGTACCTGTATGTTGAACACCTGGCGCTTCAGAGGGAAGGATGTTGGCTAATAGCTTGACAGCACCAAGAAGTTCCTCAAGAAGCAGCAGCTCCGTGACTGGCTCCGCGTCGTTTCCACCTCCAAGGGCGTCTACGAGCTCCGCTTCTTCAACGTCGTCAACGACGAGGCCGATGAGGACGACGAGTAGATCTACGATACCACTTGAAGATACCAACACGGCTTGCATAGTATGGAGTCTAGGGTTCGGACAACAGGATGGGTGAAGGTCTACATGGCACGTAGCACGATCTAATGAATTGATGCACCTGCCACTTCCTCAACTGCATGCTCATGCGTGACTTATTCTCTACTTTGAAAGTCCTGGTTTCAACGCGATGTCCGAAACACTCGTTCTACGCTAATGGAGTTTTCTGAGTCTGACGGTGGGGATACATGGCGTGAGTCTGTTTACAGGAACAGGGATCCCTAAGAAAAGTTTGCGATGTCACACGCGAGAACACGTTTAGCTCGAATCGAATGCCGTACCCACTTACTCCACACGATGCTAAGGAGAAGGTTGCAATATCTTCCGCGCAAGCGCTGACTGTGGAGCATGCGTCGTGCCTACTCAGTCGCGATCCTGAACACAGCTGCAAAAAGAGCTCAAGCACAGCGCATCGTCTCCAATTGTACGAATAGCGGCTGAGTCCGAAGGTGATTTGATGGAAAGTGGGTTACGTCGTCTAAAGATATGCAGCGAGACGTCGAATCCACCATGTCTTCAATTGAAGCTATTCCAGGTAGGAAGTGAGGATGCAGATTTGCGCCGTTCTGGTGTTTTATGGGGCGTGGAAAATCTTGCTACATGTACTAGAAAAAGCTGTTGCATTCTGTCCACGGTAGATCGACGTACGTGGGAGATCTTGGTACTGTTCCTATGCGGGTACTAGCGATGCGTTGGTGCGGGTACACTCGTTGCGAGAAAACCATGTCTCGCCAAACGCGATCCACTTGGTATAAGGCGTGTTCAGACGTGTCCTGGTGACGCGCTTGCGTGTATCACCTGTCCAGCTGTCAGTGGCATGCGCAGAGATTTCTGAATATGCCCGGAGGCAGTGCTATAGGAAAAACAAGCGGTTCTCGGAATGATGAGTTTGATATGTTCCGGATGCTACTCCGCATTCCGATCCGGGGTTGCTCGGCGTTCAGTACAGAAAGCGAGACCGACGAAGCTAGAAGCCATGATGCTTACTTTGGTTCGTGACAATAACAGCCTTAATACGACGGAAAAGACCCCGATGCAAAAAGCGCCACAACGGGAGCGCCGTGCAATACTGGACTGGAGATCAAGAGAGGTATACCGAATCGGCCCGTCGTAGATCGAAGCTTTGCGCCCGGATGAGGCTACAGAGAGCCGCAATGCAGGGCACCGTTCTAGAGGTCTAGACACCGCGAGTTGTGTCTGCATTCAGCAACCACAGAAGCGGTGAAATGGTGTTCGTGCTGCCAGTGTGGTCCCGCCATGACACGTTCACGGGCCATTGGATGGCGTCAGTTTCAGGTCAAATTTCGCCATGATGACTCTAACCCTGAAGCTACGCGTGGCATGCTGAGTTGCACATGTCAACGGGAAAGAGATCCTTGAACGAACCATGGGTGCGCCACATGGACTCAGTGTATGGTTCAGGTAACCAGAGATATGCAGAGAATGCAATTGTTTTACCGAATCGGGCGCTTCAGTCTTGGCAGATCGCGGACGCCATGCAAGCGTCGCCGTTGTTAAGCGAAGTATCGTGAGATTTCTAGGTGGTGTTTGGAGGCTTCGTCTGCCCTGATCCACATGGACTCGTCGGGCATTTCCGACGCGAAAGTGGTTGCGTGATCGGAACCGGTGCAGTTTCCATCGAGTAATGTAGACCAGTCTGGTCCCTCAACAAGTGGAGGCTTTGACACGACGCATCGTAGGTAACAGCCAATATCGGGCCGGAACGCCAAAGTGTGCAAAGAAGCTGTAAAGGATCTGGGACAGGTGGAGTACCCAGTCAGCGTTTCTTCTCGCTCCACGGTGGGTGTAGGAAAAACTCGTTGCATTACCTAACGCCGGCGCGGCTTGGCATCTGTCGCCATCACGATGAGCACGAATATGACTGTGGATTGACGAAGACGTTGCACAATTAGCAATGCGCAATGTAGTCGAGTAGGGCGCATAAGCGGTCATCAAATACGTGTCAGGTGCACCTCCTGACGTGACGATGCGCGCCCTTGAGGAGTGCGGGGAGTCGCGCCGGTGTATGGGCAGTCCGAGGAGATGCTCGAATATTCGTCCCCAGAGTCGCACTTTGCAGGCGATCAGAACGCCATGTTGCGGGGAACAGCGCATCAGATGTGCGTCAGCGAATGATGGCTAGCGGGCGGACAGTGTGCCGTTGCGATGGACGAGCACCCCAGGGTTTCCGGGTGGAGACTCTCTGGTACAATGTGTGCTGAAGTGAATGGCCGTCGGCGAGTCACACATGTTGGCCGCATAGTCAAGCCACCACGGTGCTTGTTGGCGGCGGCCAAAGCACGAGCTGGAATTCGGAATGCGTTCGGCCTGGTGATGAATCGGCGGTCAGCAGCGAGCGCTTGGTTATGCATGGTGATGGGGAATGCGCTGCATACACCGGTATAAGGCGCGACAATCACGACGCTCTCGTACCAGCTCAGCTGAGAAGGTTTCCCAGGTGTTGACGTCTTTTTAGTTGGCAGGCACGACAGCTACTGGGCGATCGCGAGAGCGGCAGGCCGTGCGTTCCTTCCTCCTGACCCAAAAATTCCATGGAAGGCGCAGGGGTGTGCTTGCCAGAACCCGTTAGCGTGGCGTGCGCAATCCCTGCATCTGGTATAACCGATGAAATCATGCGAAATCGAGTTTCTCTCATGTAAAACTTCCCTCAAAATGCTGAACGCCTTTAAATAAGACTACGCCCTACCCCGAGCTACCCCTTTGGTTACTTTGACAGCTAGAACATGTTCCTGCCACAGACTCTCTATAACCACCTCCACTCCCACAAGGTTAACTCTTGAACGCTGCCGCATTCAACAGTTGCTGCACCTGCATATCGGATCTCGGCCCACTCCCTCACTCCATTGGACAGCTCCTTATCTCGCAGATTCAAACCTGCCAACATCCACTCACGTCACTCAATCTCAGCCCTACCCCGGATTCTTTATCAGACATGCCCGGTCGCCTGTTGAGCACCCTCGCGAGGGTGGCTCCCACGCCATTGCCTAAATTGGACCACATCAAACCGCACGCTGAAGGCCTGCTTCCGCCCGTCTACTCCTACGACGCACCCCGCGTAAAAGCAAAGTCAAAGTCGGAAGAGTCGCTCGTCATGGACATCTTCAACCGCCACAAGCATGACAAGCATGCGAAAGAAAAAGAGGAAGTCAAGAAGAGCCCCAAGGTTGAGGCTCAGGGCGCGGCTTCCATGAACATGAGCGTTGAGTCGCCGCCCATTGTCTTCTACAACAGCCCCCAGTCTTCGACCGGCGCTATTTTCTCGGGTCAGCTCGTCATCAACGTTCATGACCCCTACGTCACCGTGGAAAAATTCGAGATGCGCATGCTCGCCATCGTTTCCACTAAGAAGCCTGTCGCCCCACACTGCCCCGATTGCAGCACGCAAACCACCGAAATCCACAAGTGGGAGTTCCTGACGCATCCTACTTCGCTGCGTCATGGCCCACACACATTCCCCTTCAGCCACTTGCTGCCGGGACACCTGCCTGCGACTACACATGGTAGCCTCGCCACAGTCGATTACTACCTTTCCGCTGTTGCTACTACCTCATCGGGTAAGATTACCTACAAGCGCAATCTGGACATCAAGCGCGCCATCTTTCCCGGAGCCGAGAAGCACTCTATTCGCATCTTCCCTCCCACGAACCTTACCGCTTCAGTGAAGCTACCCCCGGTCATCCACCCGATTGGTGACTTCCCCATTGAGATGCGCCTATCTGGTATCGTGCAGAACAAAGGAGACTCACAAACACGATGG